TCAGCCTGCAACCTAAGCATGTGCCCTTGACCAGAATCTAACCTGGAACCCTTTAGACCGCAGGTTGGTGCTCTATCCACTGAGCCAAAACAGCCAGGGCTTCTTTGCCTGTTTTTAAAAAAAAAAAATTGAGGGACCGGTTTGGCTCAGTGAATAGAGCATTGGCCTGCAGACTGAAGGGTCCCAGGTTCGATTCCAGTCAAGGGCATGTACCTTGGTTGCGGGCTCATCCCCAGTAGGGGGTGTGCAAGAGGCAGCTGATCGTGATTCTCTCTCATCGATGTTTCTAACTCTCTATCCCTCTCTCTTCCTCTCTTTAAAAAAATAAAACAATAAAATACATTTTTTTAAAAAATTGATTTCAGAAAGGAAGAGAGATAGAAACATCAATGGTGAGAATCATTAACCCACTGCCTCCTGCAGGCCCCCACTGGGGATTAAGCCTGCAACCTGGACATCCTCGCTGACCAGGAATCGGATGGTGACCTCCTGGTTCATAGCTCGATGCTCAACCACTCTGCCACACTGGCCAGGCTGTAGGTTTTTTTAAAAGAAATATTATATTAACTGTTTTCCAAGCACTTGTAAGCTAAGAAATATTACTGTTTATTTCCTGAGAGGATATATTAAATATCTCATTATAATTATGTATTTTTGAAACTGGACAAACAGTGGGTATGGGCTGCCTGTCACTACATGAGCCAATTAAGCAGAGGCAGGGTTAAATCATATCTGAGCATTTATTCCAATAATGCTGGCAGTATGGTCAACCACAAAAATCTGCTCTGCACTTCTCCCCTTCCCCCAGCTGTGTAGACTAGTATGGGATACAAGGACAAGTATTACATGGGGAAGTGGGCAAAAGGAATAAAAGATGGGTATGCAAAAATAAAAATGGTTATTACAGGCATGGGGAAGTGGGCAAAAGAAATAAGAATGGGTATAATTGTTACAGATTACAGGTGTTAACGTAAAAAACATTGAAACTTGTAAAGAATTTTTGTGAGTTTATTTGAGCCAAACTGTCTGTCGAATATCCTGGGAAGCAGAACCTCAATGGATTGAGCTAATGCTCTAGAGAATGGCGGGTTTCTTCTGTATTTAGACATTGCAATCAAAGGAGGGACGTAAGTGGGTTACATGAAACCCATTGGATAGACTGGAGAGGCGGGAGAAAGCAAAGAGGGGAACCCCTTGGGATTGGATAAAAAGTAAAATGATAGACACATACTTAAGTGGGTGCAGGAACAATTAACATGATAATGAAGGAATTTGTTGTATTTTCCTGGTGCCTAGCAAATTAGGTTGTGCCCGAAGGGCTCCAAAAAAAGGGAAGTTACAAGTTACCCAGACATTTCAAATGGTATGTTATCACAGATGGTTAAAGACCGATAGGCTCAGTGAAGGTAAAGGTTGACCTTGTCAGTGAAGATACCGGCCTAGGATTTAACTACCCACCATAACTGCGTTTACTTAGTTTAATTTCAGACCATCCTTTGTGGTGACTTTAGGTCTCTGAGTTGCAAGGCTACCATGCAGGCCTCCCCTGAGCTTGTCAGGTCAGCATGTGCCCCTTTTCGTCCACACAGGCAATGTGGCAAAGGGGTTTGCAAAGGGCAGGGGACATCTGGGACTACTTTAGTTCCTTAAGGCAACTTGGCTTGTTAATCTTTTCATGATGACAGGCAGCTCAGAGATGAGGAGGATGGGCTGAATTTCCAGGTGAGCTCCCTGGACTCAGGCGCCACTCACAGCCAGATTAGAAAGTGCATTTTAAGATAGATAGATAGATGATAGATAGATAGATAGATAGATAGATAGATAGATAGATAGATAGATGATAGATAGATAGACAGACAGACTTCAGAGAGGAAGGGAGAGGAATAGAGATACCGGTACAAACACCAGTGATGAGAGAGAAGCATTGATTGGCTGCCTCCTGCACGCTCCCCACTGGGGACCAAGCCCGAAACCCAGGCATGTACCCTTGACTGGAATCAAACCTGGGTCCTTTCACTCCGAAGACCAACGCTCTATCCACTGAACCAAACCATTTAGGGCTAGAAAGTGCTTTTTTAGTATCAGAACAAAACAATCACAGTTAACAGAGCGTGATTAATGTTTCTTATTTTATTTCTTATAACTAAGACCTGCCTATTGATCAGTGATGTTTTCGAAAAAAGATCACCCCCACCCCCCTGGGGAAAGATTTTGATCAGAAGGGAGAAATGATAAACATTATGATGAGATTGAAAGTTTAAGGGAACATGATCAGTCTGGAGAGTCTGTGGAAGGAGTTATTGCACTCTCATCCCGAGAACCCTACAGGAAGAACTCTATGCTTACAACAAAGTTCTAAGTTTGTAACTACCCCTTCCCTTAACTTCCCCTTCCCTTAACTTCCCTTTTCCTTAACTTCCCTTTTCCAATAGAAAGGAAGAGGGAAGTTAAGGGATGCTGGTCAGTGTATGCATACTCTAGATTGCATTTCTTTTTTCCCAAATAAATCCTTTTGGTGACAAAATGGGATAGGTAAGCACTCCACAGGTCCAGCTGTCAGGAGCCAAAAACTCATTAATCACTCCTTATATTCTTATATCTTCCCTTCACTTTACAGCCAATTAGCTGCTAGTCTGAAGGACACCGCTGTCTGAAAAATTTGCTTTGATGGGCTTAAATTTTGTGCCTTCCAGGCATGCACATGAGCTAGCAAAAAAGACCCTCCCTCATTTAAATGCTAAAAGCCACACCCCTGGGCGGAGATTTAGCATGCTGACTAGACATGCCTTCCTAGAAGAAGCTTGTAATTCCACTACAGACCCTAAAATTCTCCACCATTCTATACTTAAATGTCACATTTAGATGTCATCTTTTCTGCCTCAACTTCCTTAAAACTGTCCCCTGGCTTTTGCTCAGAGAACGACATTTCTCCTTTTCCCTTTAAATGTTGTCTCCCTTGGTATACAAACCATTTCATAAACCTTCATCAGACTCTTAAATCATGTGGTGAACTCTGTTCATTTCTATCTTGAGAGTTCCTAAAAAGCCAGGATGGGCCCTAACCGGTTTGGCTCAGTGGATAGAGTGTCAGCCTGCAGACCAAAGGGTCCCGGGTTCAATTCTGGTCAAGAGCATGTACCTCAGGTGTAGGCTCCTCCCCAGCCCAAGTCCATGTTTCTATCTGTCTTTTCCACTCTCTTTGAAAATCAACGGGAAAGTATCCTCACCCTAGCCGGTTTAACTCAGTGGACAGAACGCTGGCCTGCAGACTGAAGGGTCCCAAGTTTGATTTGGTCAAGGCCACATGCCCGGGTTTCAGGCTCAATCCCCAATAGGGGGTGTGCAGAATAATTCTCTCTCACTGATGTTTTCCATCTCTCTCTCTCCCTCTCTGATATCAATAAAAAATGTATCGGAAGGAAGGAAGGAAGGAAGGAAGGAAGGAAGGAAGGAAGGAAGGAAGGAAGGAAGGAAGGAAGGAAGGAATTCTCGGGTGAGGATAAAAAATTTAAAAGAAGCCAGGATGGTTTAGTGGTAGAATTCTCACCTGACATACAAGAGCCCCTGTTTTAATTTCCAGCCAAAACTCTATATTGGTTTTAGTGATCTCTTCTGACCACTGTCCTGGGAGATCACAAGAACTCAGGATGCCGATAACAGAAACACCTGGTCAATACTGATTTTCAGTGGACGTAATGGAATATTCTTCAACCGTAAAAACAAATGAAGTATTGATACATGCGGCAATAGGAATGTGCCCTGAAAAAAATGATCCTAAGTCAGTGCAGTCAGTCATGAAGACCATATATTATATAATAATACCATGCATATGAAAGACCCCAATAGTAACGCTTAGATTAGTGATTGCCCAGGGGTGGGGACTGGAGAAGGAAGATGGGAGGACTGAGAATGAGAGCTCAACTGTACAATGCAGTATATGTAAATCAAATCACCTTATTGTAATCTTTGTAACCCGAGAAAGATGTTTTCAAGCGCATCCCAAAGTTAGATGACAACTTATAAAAGTTTTGCTTATTATATCAATCATTAAACCTTCGGGATATGAAATCTGTTGACATGCTGAAGTGTTCTAGGGTCACATGGAGAAACTGACCTAAAATAAATTCCCTTTGGTGTCAAAACATACACCTGAAAAATGCAATGAGCACATCTCACACCTTGGGGTTAGATTGAGATGAGTCCTTGTGTCCAGCGGGGTTCGAATTTCCCATCAGCGCCCAGTGCTCTGGGGTCGCTCTCTTCAGGACCAAATGAGAGGCGGCGAGAAAGGGACAGGTGGAAGGTTCAAGGCTTGCAAGAACCAAAGACCCAAATGGAGCCAGACGGTCAGACTGTCTGTGTTTCTAAAACAAGGGTCACCGTTCCATGAGCGAAGTCCCAGCCTTCCGCCAAATCGTGGACCCCCTACGAGACATCAAACCATCTTTGCGCCAGGGCGGCCTGGCTTGGCCTACTCTCCAGTCTGGACTTGCTCCATCTTGAAACTGAATCGCGACTTCTCCGCGCACACCTCTGACCACGCCTCCCCACGAAGCTGTGGGAAAGACAAAGGAGTGCAGCCCCGGGTCAGGAAAAAAAAAAGTTCGGCTTTTAAACTTTAAAAGCAAATGTTAGGGGGGTAGGATGAGGGTGGAGGTGGGGGTAGGGGCGGGCGTAGCTTCCCGGCCTCAGACCGAAGCTAAGGTCTGCAGAACGCCGGGTCCACCCGGCGGTTGTCACTCAGGCACGCGGGGGCGCGGCCTTCCAAACCGGCCAATCAGAGGCCTCCCTGGAGCGGATGGGCGGGGCTCCGGCCGGCTCTGGCGTGGAGGTCGTCTCTCCCGTGGCAACGCGCTGGGTCGCTCCGCCGCCGCCGCCGCCGCCGCCGCCGCCGCCGCCTCACACCGTCCCGGGGGCTTGGCCGCGGCGGTGCCGCGCTGTGGTCTGTGCCGCTCCTGAGAGTCGTGGGCCGGACTCGGGGAGAACCAGGAAGCCTAGAAATGGTGAGTGCGGGCCGGGCACGGAGGGGGAGATATGGTGCCGGTAGTCGGAACCGCCGGAACCTGCCTGGCTGGCCGGCCGGCCGGCCGGCCTCCCCGGGATCCGGTGCGGGTCTGCCGCCCTGATGCCCCGGCCCGCGGCCCGCACCCGGCCCGCCGCCCGCACCCGGCCCGCCGCCCGCACCCGGCTCCTCCGGCCCGCAGCGCGGGGGCTGGACCGCCGCCGGGACCCGGGCGTCCTGTCTGTCCGGTCCCCGCGGGGCCAGTCGGGCCTGGAACCTCGGTTGGCAGCTCCGCGCCCGCCGCCCGCCCGGCGTCTCCGCAGACGGTGCGGCCGCGGGGAGGGTCGCGGGGAGACCGTCCTGACTCCCGCTCCCGAGTTTGTCTGGGGGAGGAGCTCTCATCTCTCCCCGCCGGCCTTGGTGGTTTTTGTTGTGTGTTTTTTTTTTCATGAGTTTTCCAAATGTTGGGGGAGCAGGGTGTCAAATCCACGTCCCGGTCCCCAGCCAAGCTCTTCCTGGGGCTGGCAAAAAAAAAATAAAAAGAACAAAAATTAAAATCCCTGGATTTCCAGGTCCCTTCCCTCGTTCCCAAATGCGCTTCCCCTCTCCGATTCACTGCGTCATCATCCGCTGTTTGTCATCGGTGGTGCATCTGAGACAGCCCCAGTATTTTACTTTTTTAAGAAATATATTTTTTACTGATTTTCTTATAGAGAGTTAGAAACATCGATGAGAGAGAAACATCGACCAGCTGCCTCCTGCACACCTCCTTACTGGGGATGTGCCCGCAACCAAGGTACATGCCCTTGACCGGAATCGAACCTGGGACCCTTCAGTCCGCAGGCCGACGCTCTTATCCACTGAGCCAAACCGGTTAGGGCAGTATTTTACTTTTTTTTTTTTTATCCGTTTTTCACAGTCATGAGGATATGTTTTGTTGGTGGTGGTGGTCTGTATATTTTTACGTGAGAGGAAATCTGAGAATAACCACCAGGAACACATTGTATGAAATTCCCGTTCCTCTCCCCCAGGAGCTTGGCTGGGCACAGGCATCTCTGGGAATCCTTTGGATGGAAGTTCTTTTGTTGTTGTTAATCCTCTGGTGAGGCTATCTTCTCCATTGATTTTTAGAGAGAGCGGAAGGGAGGGGGAACGACTGGGAGAAACGTGCACCTGAGAGGGGCACATGGATTGGCTGCCTCCCGCACCTGCCCCACCTGGGGCTGGGGATCCTGCGGGCGACCCTGCAGTCCGGGGGCGGAAGCTCTGTCCCCTGAGCCAAACCGGTGAGAGCTGGGGGTTCCTTTTTGAAATCTTTTCCTGGGTTTGTCACCCTAACGAGGTTTATTGATTTTATTTGTCTTCGTTTTTCAGTGGGGATAGCATGTATTTGTCAATACAGCAAGAATGGCAGTGTGAAAATAGGTCTAAAGAGGCAAGCGAGTGGAGACTTGCAGAAAAAAGTTCCAGTATTCCCAATCAACTTGTAAAGAATTCTGATTTCACTATTTTTCTTCCCTTCAGCATGTGTAGTGAGTCCCCAGGTCTCTTTACTTTTGCATGTTTTCAAGTGAAATTCCAGAGCTTAGACTTGCAGAGCAGAGGTGTTCAAGTGTGATTAATTACTTCAAAACAATGTGTTGCCATGGAAATCATAATCAACAGACAGCTGCTTTTTTTTTTTTTTTTTTCTGGATGGAACAGATACTTGGGCTTTTCTGGTTTAATTGATAAAAAGCGGGTTACAGTCTTCTTTCCCCTTTCCACATTATCACTGAATTTGAGTGATTTTGCTGTATTGTTCAAACATTGATGTAATTTAACTATCAGTGGTAGTACCTACAGTGGAGGTCTCCAGAGGGGAGCAGAGATTTGTGGCCAGTCACACAATCTAAGGCCCCCTTGAGTCTGCACAAGGCCCCCCATTTGTTCTTCCTGGGGGGCCTCCCCTGCAGGTGTCCTGCCTCCTCACCCCGGGCAGGGAAGAAGCCTTTACACTGAGAGACTACAGCCCTGGAGCGCTGGGGGTGCAGGTGCACAAGGAGGGAGAGGGGGGGATGAGGCTCTGAGGCTGTGGTCTCTTAAGTCTAGACATTTTCAGATCCTCTTAGTTTTGCAGCCACAGTATAAGTGCACCAAGGTATAATTTTTGCACATAGTCTGTGGACAAAGGGTTTATGATTTTGGGAGTTCATTTGGGTCAAAACATTGAACAGTATCAGGCTGAGAGTTGCCTGATGTGAATGGAAGCCTGGGGGAGGGGAGCTCTTCTCTGCTGATTTTAGTTTGGTGGTATTCTGTGATTTTCCCCTATCTTCTCTTTTTGTTGTTGTTGTTTTTAATCCTCACCTAAGAATATTTTTTCCTTTTTCTTCTTTTTTGAGAGAGAGAGAGAGAGAGAGAGAGAGAGAAGGTGGAAGGGAGAGAGAGAAACATTGATGTGAGAGAGATGAATTGATTGGAGCTGAGACCCTTCGATGCTCTGGCCTACACTTCATTAATTTTCCTTTTTTTAAAAAATATATTTTATTGATTTTTTAAAAATATTTTTTATTGATTTTTTACAGAGAGGAGGAGAGAGGGATAGAGAGCTAGAAATGTCAATGAGAGAGAAACATCGACCAGCTGCCTCTTGCACACCCCCTACTGGAGATGTGCCCGCAACCAATGTACATGCCCTTGACCGGAATCGAACCTGGGACCTTTCAGTCCGCAGACCGACGCTCTACCACTGAGCCAAACTGGTTTCGGCTATTTTATTGATTTTTTACAGAGAGGAAGGGAGAGGGATAGAGAGTTAGAAACATCAATGAGAGAGAATCATTGATCAGCTGCCTCCTGCACACCCCCCACCAGAGATGTGCCCGCAACCAAGGTACATGCCCTTGACCGGAATCGAACCCGAGACCCTCAGCAGGCTGATGCCCTATCCACTGAGCCAAAGCGGTTTTGGCTGCATTTCTTCTTTGTGTTATGGGTCTCATTTCTAGATTTTTAAAAAATATATATTTTATTGATTTTGTAGAGAGGAAGGGAGAGAGAGATAGAGAGTTAGAAACATCGATCAGCTGCCTCTTGCACCCCCCACACTGGGGATATGCCCACAACCAAGATACATGCCCTTGACCGGAATCGAACCCGGGACCCCTCAGTCCCCAAGCCGATGCTCTATCCATTGAGCCAGACCGGTCCCGGCTCATTTCTAGATTTTTGTTCTAGATTAACATTTAGAACAAATGTCATTTTCTAGATTAACATTTTATGTTTACACAAAAAAGTTTCAGAGATACAGTAGTCTTTTTTTTTTCTTCTAATTTTATCTTATCTCCACTTATCTATGCACATGTAGTTCTTTCTCTCCCCTTTTAAATGTTTTTGTTGTCACAAATTATCCCTTTTCTTGTTGTCTATTCATTCCCAAATTCCTTTCAGTCCGCAGGCCAACACTCTATCCACTGAGCTAAACTGGTTTCGGCAATTTTTGACAATTTTAATATAATGTGCCTGGTAGAATTTTTTTTTTTTGCATTGAGATCATTAAGTATCCTGTTGGCTTCTTGGATTCAAGGGTCCAGACTATCTCTTTCTATAGGTTTGGGAAGTTCTCATTGAGTTTTGAATAGTCACTCTGTTCCTTTATTCCTCTTTTTTTCTACTGGTATACCTAGTATTTTTAAGTTGCTCATTCTAATAGAATCAGATCATTCTTGTAGAAGTTTTTTGTTGTTTTTTTTACTCTGAATTCTCTTATATCTGAGTCATTTCTAGATTTCTATCATCAATATTACTAATTCTTTCCTCCATCTGGTCTGCTCTATTTCCTAAGCTCTGTAGTTTATTTTTCATGTCATTTATTGAGTTCTTCACCTCCAGCATTTCAATTTGGTTCTTTTCAAATTTGTAATGAAGTATTTACTTCTTTTGTTCATTGATTTAATTCCTGAGCTCTCTGAGCCAACTTTCTGAGTTTTCTTATATCTCATTGAGTTTTTCCAGAACTGCAATCTTAAGTTCTCTGTCATTTAAGTCGTGGTGTTCCATGTCCTTACGTTTATTTTCTGGAGATTTTTTTTATCTTTCTGAACTACCTTGTTACCTTGGCTATTCATGATAGGTGGTGGGTTATTTCTCTGCTTGGGATTTGAATTGAATTAAATCTATTTTTATTTTATTTGTTTATTTTAACTTTTTAGCAAGTTCGTAGAGGTTTTTAAATTTTTTATTGAATTTATTGAGGTAAAATTATGTTTCAAGTGTGCAGTTCTATAATATATCGCCTGTGTATTATATTTACCACTCAAAATCAAGTCTTCTGTCACCATTTATCCCACTTTACTTTCTACCTGCCCGTGCCCCTGCCCCTGCCCCTGCCCCTGCCCCACTCTCTTCTTTCTCTTTGGTAATCACTATACTGTTGTCTGTACCTCAGTTCTTTTTTTTTAATCTTTTTTTCTTAATCCATTCACCTTTTGCCCCCAGCCCCCTAATTCCCCTCCCTGCCCTCTGACATCTGTCAGTTGTTCTCTGTATATGAATCTGTTTTGTTTATTTTGTTGATTAGTTTCAGCATATACTAAATGAAATCATATGGCATTTGTCTTTCTCTGGCTGGCTTATTTCACTTAGCATAGCCAGTAGGTGGTGCTGTAGTGCGTTTTCATTTTGTCTTACCTGCACTACTTGTAACTCTGGACTATGTGAAGTGGTGTTGCCTTATGTTACCATGATGCTAAGTGTTTTTGTTACGGGACTCTATTCTGTTCCATTGATCTATGTGGTTGTTGTTTTGCCAGTGCCATGCTGTTTTATTACTATAGCCTTATGGTATAGTTTGATATCAGATAGTGAGATATCTCCAACTTTGTTTTTTCTTTTTGATGCAATGGTAAATGTAATGAGGTTTTTGGTTGTTTTTTTAAGCTCTTGGCTTTTTAAAAAACATTTTTATTGATTTCAGAGAGGAAGGGAGAGAGCTAGAGAGATAAAAACATCGATGAGAGA